AGAAAAATAAAAACAAGAACAAAACACTCGGCTGTTTAACCTTACAAACACCTGCTTCAGCACTTCCCTAGGCCTCCTGAGCAGGCACTGCAGTTGGCCTGGGGACACTGATGAAAACTTCAATTCCAGAGTCTACAGCAGAGTTGTAATTTTAAATTATTATTTATTTCAGCACAGAGTGGACTGGACTGGACTGGAGGGCATGGGCTGGAGGTTCCTGATATTTGTCCTGGAGCAAGGGGTGATTAGAATTTGCAAAGCCACTGCTGGACCATCAGTTAATGCTGAAAGCTTCTAATAAAAAATCTCACTCTAGAGGCACCTGGGTGGCTCATTCAATTAATCGCCTGACTGTTGATTTTGGCTCAAGTCATGATCTTATGGTTCCTGAGATCGAGCCCTGTATGGGACTCTCCACTGACAGCTTGGAGCCCACCTGGGATTCTCTCTCTCTCTGCTCCTGCCCCGCTCCTGCATGGGCTCGCTCACTCTCAAAATAAATAAACTTAAAAAAAAAAACACCAAAAAACAAAAACCTCACTCCCGTGAGATTAAGACCAGTTTCTTCATCTCAAATCCAGAAGGTATGGCAAGTATTAGCATAAGTTATCAGAAATGACTACAGAAAAGAGTGGTATTCAAGATATGTGCTTTGGCAACAGGTTATCACAGAGGGACCACTGCTCTTACAGGGGCACATACCTATAAATCTAATGCATGCAGTGGCACATACACTTTGGGACTGTACCCTGGACCTCAGGATTCCTACTCGTTCTATGATTAGTTCCCTATAAGGGAATTCTGTTGTCTGATCCCAGCTAGATTACGCTGAATCCTACAACCCGATTGGCAGTTCTGCCTGGGACACAACTTTCATAAAAGGTACCTGCCACAGTTCCTAAAAGAGTGGAGAGGAGGGACCCCATCCAGTTTAGACAAGAGTTTTGTAAGAATATTTTGCGCTTGCTTGCTAATACATTTTTGTATGTGTGGCAGAACTTTGTCTGAGTTTGCTTTCATAACCCCCGCCACTGGGGGGTTAGGTTTGGGGGGAGATCTCGAGTGCTCACTTATTTGTAGCCTGCAAACATGAGCAGTATCTCTCAAAAAGAACCTAATAGGGGTGCCTGGGTGGCACAGTCATTGAGCGTCTAACTTTGGCTCAGGTCATGATCTCACAGTTCATGAGCTCAAGCCCTGTGTCGGGCTCTGTGCTGACAACTTGGAGCCTGGAGCCTGCTTCAGATTCTGTGTCTCCCTCTCTCTCCGCCCCTCCCCTGCTCATACTCTGTCTCTTATCTCTCTCAAATATAAATAAGTATTCAAAAAAATTAAAAAAAAAAAAAAAAGAACCTAATACCCAAACCACTGAATTGGCTCAAGATGGGTCACAACAGGGAAACATCATGCAAAAGAGTGTTAATAAGCACAACAGTCTTATACAAGGTATCCAGGCAGCAAGATCATGAATGCTTTCATGGGAATGCTGACTCAGAAAAGCCTTTGTGGAGAAAGTGACAAATGAACAGAATTTTGAAGGATAAAAGTACAAGTTCTCTGGAGTTGGGGGAGATTCCCAGTAGAGGAAAGGAAACAACATCTACAGAAAGAACTACTATGGCACCTTAAGAAAAAGGCACGTGGGTGAACACTCTGCAAGACAGAGTATGTGGTGCAGAGCAGCATGCATGGGGCAGAACAGATGGGCAGGTGTGAGGAAGGCTCTTGCTACTTGCTGAGGAGCTTTGTTTTATAAGCCGGTGTAGCCTACCATGTTCAGTAAGAATCACTTGGTGTGCTCCTTAAAATATACTGCCCAGCCCTCCACTTGAAATCACGAGTTAGTAGGCATAGATGAGATCTGGGAACTAAGGATTTTCAACACGCACTCCCTAGGATTCTGATTAGCAAATGGCCAAATTCTGAACAACAGCAAAACAACCAAATCAGGTCTTGATCTCAGGGCTGTGAGTTCAGGCCCCATGTTGGGCTCTGCACTAGGAATGAAGCCTACTTAAAGAAAATAAAATAGGGGCGCCTAGGTGCCTCAGCCAGTTAAGCGTCTAACTCTTGATTTGGGTTTAGGTCATGATCTTCTGGTTTGTGGGTTTGAGCCCTGCATCGGGCTCTGTGCTGACAGTGCAGAGTCTGCTTGGGATTCTCTCTCTCCTCTCTCTGCTCTTCCCCGCAACTCGTGTACGCTCTCGAAATAAATATATAAAGATAAAAGAAAAAGAATCTGATATAGACAGGATTTGGTGGTTGTGAGGGAGAAACAAGAACTCATTAAAAAAAAAAAATCCCAACAACCAAGGCACGTGGCTGGCTCAGTAAGAGGAGCATGGGACTCTTGATCCAGAGTTGTGAGTGTGAGCCCCATGCTGGGGGTAGAGTTTACTTAAAAAAAAAAAAAAAGAAAAAGAAAAAGCCCACAATTCAAAATATATCCACTATTTGTTCATTCAGCAAGTATCTTCGAAGCACCTATTACATGCCAGGCATTGCTCTAGATCCTGGGGATACAACAAAGAATAGAACAAAAAAACCACCACCTTTGGGTAATATATATTCTAGTCCAGGACAAACTAATCACATCAGCATCGAGCATAATGTACAATATGTCAGAAGCTCAACACTGTGGGGACACAATGCTGCGGACTGATTATCAATAGGGTCAGCCTCTGTGAGAAGCTGACATCTAACAAAACTCTGAGAGAAAGTGAGCGTCCCAGGCATGTCTGAGGAAAGGAGGGTCAGTGTGGCTGGTATGGAGAGCAAAGCAGGGGATATGGAAGATGAGATCAGAGAAACGGGGTGGGGGCCACAAATCATGTAGAGCTTTAGAGACTGCTGTAAAGACTAAGCAGGAGGGGAAGCCACTGGAGTGTCCTCAGTAGCCTGGCCGCCATGTAGAGCAAGGTTTGGCAAACTACAGCCAACTGCCTGTTCCTGTAAGCAAAGTTTTATTGGAACACTCATTCGTTTACATTTTGTATGGCTGTTTTCATGTTACAACAGCAGATCTGGGTGACTATGCCAGAGACTGTGTGGTCCAGAAAGCCTAAAATGTTCACCGTCTGGCTGGCCCTTTGCAAAAATGTTTACTGACCCCTGATGTAGAGAATGGATTGAATGCTCCCAGAGTGAAAGGCAGAAGACTGTTTGTGGTTAAGAAACGACTGAATGAGTCAGAAGGATTTCCAGAACGACTGACATGGGGTAGGAGAGGATGACTCTGTGTATGGGGGGATTTGGGTGATCAGGGGTTTTGTTCTGAACATGTTCAGTCAGCAGATGCATACGGTACAGTTTTAGGAAGACAGTCCCCGGTCTTAAAGAACTTCTATTCCAGTGGAACAGAAAGGAAAACTAATCATTTTAACACAACCAACAATTAAAACGACCAGGCCAGGCACTGAGTATTCCGTTGGAGGGGAAGCTGGGGTCAGAGAAAGCTTCCTGAAAAATGGGTCTTGAAAGAAGAATACGAATTAGCCAGGCAAAAGAGGTCAGGGAGAATGTTCCAGGAAAAGAAAAGTCACAAAGACAAGAAACAACATGGTGTGTGTGCAGATATAAACTGCAAGCAAGGAGGAGCCCGAAGCATGAGGCAGGGGGTGTGACGGATGTGTGGAAGGCCCCTCCCTCCACGCAAGGCTAGTGCCCCTTGATAAGTAAGTTGGACTTTATCTTGCAGGTAATAGGGAGCCACTGAAGAGTTCTGAGCAAGGCAGTGACATAATCAGCTCGGTGAGTTTTCATTCACTCGAGCAGGTGACTGAGAAGCATATTTTTGAAGTACAGCTATGAAGTAAGGAGTCTGCTTTTCTTACTGGAGCTGGTAAACCACAGCTATTTCCATTTTGGGTTACTCTACAAAGGAATGTTTGTGTTTTTCTTCTTTGTTCTTAATTTGCTTTTCTTGATGCAGGATGAATGCAACAACAAAAAGCTGATTTTGTAGAAATTTCCCAAAACGAATGCACTCAAATGGAGTACTTGAAAGTGTTAACTTAGCCCTCACCCTACTGCTTGGAGAGATATTCAGTAATTGCTAAAATGCTCATTTCCATTTCAGACTTAGATAGGCACAGAGTCGGGACATACAAATCAGACCCTTAAGAAATCAGTAACTCCAATAATGAGCTGGGTTTTTCAATAATAATAATAATGATGGCTCAACTCTCCTTGGAGGCAGAAGACCAAACACTTCTGAAAAGGGTTTGTGGCGTGACGGACACAAGTCACAGCCTCTGGGGGAGTGCAAATTTGTACAGTACCCTAGCTTATAGCCTGCAAGTGGCTCATCTCATTGAAGACCTACAACAACACCAGCAGGAAAATCAGAGTCTCCGTTTTACTAATAAATCTATCTGGGCCTGTGGGAAGCGCCCATGTGTTCACTCTGCCTGTCCACACCTATGCAAGGGACAGTAGTTACTGTAAGGGCTAGAGCTGGTCCTAGAAAATAAAGATGGGGGCACCTGGGTGGCTCAGTCAGTTAGGCATCCGACTTCGGCTCAGGTCATGATTCCCCAGTTTGTAGGTTCGAGCCCCACGTTGGACAGCTCAGAGCCTGGAGCCTGCTTCGGATTCTGGGTCTCCCGTTTCTCTCTCCTCCTCCCCTGCTCATGCTGTGTCTCTCAATAATAAATGATAAAATAATTTTTAAAAAAAGAAGAAAAGAAAAGAAAGATGGCCCTGTTTCAAACAGCATCAGCTGCTATTCTACTTTTATTAACTGGAAAGAGTTTAATGTCCTTTGCTTTTTGCATCATTCTTAGGAAAGCTGCTTAATTGTCTGTAAGTCGCCATACCTACACATCCTTCTAATATTTATTTTCAGGGTTTCCCTAATCAGATTTTGAACTCCTGTGGACTATGAAGCAGATCTTATTAATCTGTGCCAACACAGACGCTCAAACCTCTGTTGAGTAAATCGATCAATGATTAAGGGTACAGAGCAAGGGGAGAATAACAGCCTTACAGGATTTTTTTTTCTTCCAGCATCAGCTTTGCCAAGAGGCTTTCACAGAGCCCACGGTGAGCACCTGAAGACCATGGTGAAAAGACATCATCTGCACTTGTAATACAATTTAAAACAGAAGCTGAGTTTCAACCTCTCAGGCTAAAAGCTGACAGAAGTATTATTAGGTTATAGGAAATAAACCTGAAGTTCAACAACTTTCCATTTGCACAGGATGATAAATATATATACACTGTGTGCGTTGTGTGTGCGTGCATACACAGAGAAAGATAGTAAGTGATGCCTACACATTGGTTTTTATTCAGTACCACATGCTTTTATTTTGGGTCTAGACAGCTTATTTTTAAGAACGTTCAAATTGGGGGGGGGGGCGCCTGGCTGGCTCAGTCTGAGGAGCATGCAGCTCTTATCTAGAGGTTGTGAGTTTGAGCCCCACATGAGGTATAGAGATTACCTAGATTAAAAAAAATTTTTTAATGGGGGTGGGGTGGGGAGGGGAACGTCCAAGTATGCCACCTGGCTGGCTCAGTCAGTAGAGCATGTGACTCTTGATCTCAGGGTTGTGAGTTCAAGCCCCATACTGGGCTCGGAGCCTACTTAAAAAAAGAATTGTTCAGGTATACCTGGTGAATGGTTTAGAAAAAGAATCTAAATAAAACACAAGATTCCCATAGAAAGTATTAAGAAGTTAAGCTCTGTAAGCCTTTATGCCTAGAGACTCTCAGGCATATTTACTTTCAGTTCCTTTCCGTAACTAGCAGCATCCAGTATTTCTCTCAAACCCTGGCTCCCACTGCCCCCAGACAAGCATCTGGGCCCCTCTGCCACTTCTCCCTTTCTCTTCGGAGCCACTTGCTTCTTTGATCCACAGTTCTCTGCTGGCCCAGGCTGTCTTTATGTCACAATGTTTACTGAATCCTATTAATAACCAATCTACCCTGCTCGTCCAATCAACACTACACGTCAATCTACTGTAGGCAAACTCTTATTCAATATTATGTGTAAACGTGCTGTTGATGAAAAGTTTTATTTTGGTTCCAGATGGGGCCAGTGGCTCTTACCAAAGGGTCCCATGGGCCATAAGATAAAATCTGAGGACCACTGCTATGAGGATAGGAATTTGAAGAGAATGTTGTAAGAAGTCTTAAGCTGAAGCATTAAAAGTTCCATTTGTGTGTTTGAGAGAATTTTAAGGAAATTGATTATGAAGAACAAATCAGGTACATCTAAAACAGTCTTGAAAAAATATCCTCACACATCTGGCTAATAGGACGGTGAAATGTGAGTTGCACAAACTAATAGTGGGCTTCTCTATGAATCCACATCTAGGCCTCTGTCCGTCTGGGAGGGGTGTGTGCTGCCTTTAGCCTCTAGCTAATCTACATTTTCATCAATGACTCTGAATCAAAGAAATGAAGGGATTTTTCAGTGTAAGTTTTGTGAACGGGAAAAGTGTAGGTAAGCACACGCGACAGGAAAACCGCCAACAGTCACTGAGGAATTACTATGTGCCAGTTGCTGTGCCAAGAACTTTATACTCTTCCGATGAATTCTCAGAGTCCCTGTTAGGGACTCTGCTCCCCTAGGTAATATGCTCCCCACGTGGAGTAAATTATACAAAGGGGGTAAGATGGTTTGGCAGGATAGATCCCTTAAATGAAACGAAATAAAACAAAACAAACCTAGTAGTGATAACGGACTATAAATTTAAAGTGTTGTTAAAAGCTCTGGCCACATTAAGCTACATTAAATAGTTCAACTAGATCCTGTACAACTCAGGCCCTACTCATTCTGGGGATACATCCGAGGTAGGATACTGATAAGCTAGAGTAGGGGTTTTTTTTAGTTTATTTATTTTGAGATTGGGGTGCAGGGAGGGGGTAAGGACAGAGAGGAGAGAGAGACTCCCAAGCTGGCTCCACGCTGTCAGCACAGAGCCTGACACGGGGCTCAAACATGTGAGCAACAAGTGAGATCATGACCTGAGCCAAAACCGAGTCAGATGCTTAACTGAACGAGCTGCCCAGGTGCCCCTGGAGTAAGTATTTAAAAAAAAAACAAAACCAAAAACAGCCAAAATGGTGAGGGCAATGTCCAGTAAGGAACAGGGGCAGGAAGTGAAGAGCTTCCACCTAGAGAAGACATTCCCGGTGGACTGCAATCTCCGGAATACAGGGACCGAGTCAGATAAAAATAGCACCACATTTTACGTGGTGCTTTCCACTCTGCAAAATGGCTTTTACCTTCCCAAAAGGCTGCATGAAGTAAAGGAAGCACACTGAGATGAACAAGACGGGGCTCTGAAGCCAGACTGCCTGTTACACTCCAATTTTGCCCCTTCCCAGGCAGGTCACTCCAGACAAGTTAGTTAACGTTCTTGGGCCTGACTTCCCTTGTCTGTAAAGTGAAAATAACAACGGTATATCTGCATGGCTGATATTAGTATATAAAAAAGCGCTTAAAAACACTGCCCGGTGCGCAAGCAGCGTTACCATTAGCTACGACCCACAGCTGTGGGGCACTGGAGAAGTCCCAAGTCTCTAGAGCTGTGTCCTCACCTGACAAATCAGGATTATCACTATTTACTTAATCTTAATCTTAATTCCTTTCTTCTTTCATAAACACCTTTGTCATAATCTCTGAGAGAGCCTACTCTATGCCAGGTACTGTGCTGAGCATAACCTTTATTATCTCATTTAATCCTTGCCACAGCTATATAAAAGGCCTGCTTCTAGAACCCTGGCTTTACAGACAAGGAAACAGGCTTGGAATGGTCAGTTTAGATGAGGCCGCAGAGCTAAGCCTTCGGCAAGACTGGGAACCCAGGTCTGTTCTCGTCCAGCGTCGAGCCTCCATTATATATGGCTTTTCATTGCACGTTCCTTCATTTGTGCATCTTGGCAACTAACAGCATGCCTAGTAAAATGCCTTAGATGTACAAGATGTTCAATAAATGTTTCCGTCATCTAATAAATGAATGCTAGCTGTCCTCCACTCGGTATGACAGCTGTAAGGGAAGCGGAGACATCCTGTACCACTACGTGGGGGGACACCTAGGGTCACATCCCCAGGGCCGGGTTCTAAGTCATAGAGCCTGGACTGCACAATCTTCCAATCTCATCCAAGACTGTATGGTTTCTTGTGGAAACACTTCTTATACAGCAGAAGTTTAAAACAAAAACTCTTTAATTTTAAAACCAGAAGAGACAATACAGGCCTGGCCCAAACTCTTTGTACGTGGGAGTCCCAAAGGACAAAACTCTGCGTTTCCCAATCGATTTCCAAACCTGCACTGTTTCTTTTATAATCACACAGAGCAGACATTTCAAACAGGATTACAAGAAATATGACTGGGGTCACCGAGTCCAAAAATTATGGGGGCCAGAATTATACGGTACTTAAAAACTTGTATTTTCTAAAAACTCACTTTATTAGTCACTACAAAACACCAGGTTTTACTGCTTAAAATCACCATCTCAAATAAAGACACATTAAGATATTACCTTTTCACTTTGTGAATACCCAATTCTAATAAATAAAGAGGGTAACCTCAGAATACATTTTTTAAAATAACAGCCTTGCAGTAGCAGTAGCTTTTTTTTTTTTCTTGAAGCATTTACAGAAATACTGGGTAAGATTCTGAAACTACTGTTACAAAGGCTAAACAAACAGACCAACAAAAAAACCTGTCCTAGTCTCTGGAGAAACACTAAAATGCAAAACTTCAACCGGAATTTTATATATTCAAGGATGCTATAAAGTCTTTAAAAAAGAGTACTGGGGCCAAATTTTAAAAAACCGCTTCTGAGATGAAACTTTAAAACAGCACACAACGTTTCAAAAGAGAAATAAGAATGTTTAAAGAAAAGCAATTTCTACTATAACACTGAAGGTAAATGTTACTTAAGTCATACCGTAAGTTATTTCTTAAGCATGTGATATAGAACAAATGTCCTAGGTCCATCCGATTCGGTACGTTCTCACCCACCATAAATCCCTAATTGTAATACATGAAATGTGAAAATGAGAACGCTTACGAAAAAAGTGTTAAGGAGGTAGAGCCAGGGCAAAGCAACATAACAGTAAAATGGTCAAGGCTAGTAAGGTTTGGAGCTGGCAGCCCGGATTCAAATCTCCGCTCCACTACTTGCTACCTCTGTGTGGGGATAACAACAACGCACCCCCCAAAGGGGGTCATGAGGACTGAAAACAGAACGCACATGGACGTCTGGCGCTGCACCCGGTACTCTGTAAACATGCAATACGTGGGGGCTACAGCATCACTGCCGATATGCTCCTCAAACGCTGACACAGGAGGGTTCCATCCCTGCCCAGGTGCCGACATCTGCTTCTGTCTTCCCAGTTCCCATTCCCCCCGTTTCCTTGGGCACCCCTGATCTGCTGTCCTCAATCCTCCGTTTGGGTGAGGTTCGCTCTCTCCCTCCAGGGTGAGCCTGTGGCTCAAGCCTGGTCAGAGACTCGTTCAGAAATGGGCATGTGGCCCAAGCCATGTGGGACCAATGGGACTAAACTCCAGGATTTTATTTGGAGCCTTTTGGTAATGAGAAGCTCTCTTCCTATGTGTATCTGTAGGATGGAAAGCTAAAATTTTGTGGGCCAGCTTTCTCTCACATGAAGAAAGCTTGCAAGAGCTGGGAGAGCAAGTCCTGATGGTATCTGCGCCCTCAGCTCCAACTAGTTACCAGAATGTTGTTCACTGGAGCTATAGTTATGGGGACCAATACCTTCCTTTTTTGGTTTGCTCAAGTCCACTTAAGGGATATTTAATTTTATTTTTGATATTTGCATCTGAGATCTGACACATCTGGTACCAATCACCTCCCAGAAGCTGGTGACCTGGGGTGCAGTCGAGCTTTGCAGTGAAGGGCAAAGATTTGAAATCGGCGACATCTGGTTTCCAGTCCTGGTTGTCCCACTCACTGCCATGCGAACCCTGGATAATTCGTCTGAGCCTACTTCCTCACCTGTGAAGCAGTCTGATACCTGCCTCAAAGGGTTGATAAGAAGGGTGCCTGGCTAGCTCACTCAGAAGAGCATGTACCTCTTGATCTCGAGACTGTGCACTGCAGCCCCAT